GTACATAATCAAATGTTAATTATTTATTCATACACTAATACGGTATTTTCCAATTACTCAAATTCAATACTTTTATCCAAATGTCAAAAACTACACTTTTCTGTGTAATTTGTATGAAATACTGAGTTATGACGTCATTGTATTTTTACGTCAAATAGCTTACTTATTTCTTAAAAATTAGCAAAAAATATCTAAAATTTAGTGTATCGATCGATCGATGATTGAATGTAGGTATTTTTGTTTTTATATATTTTTTTGAATTGAAGCGTCGAATTAATGTATTTTTGACCTAGGAAACTAAACAATTATATCGATGGAATGGAATATCTTGTTTAGGATTTTGGCTTCGGTTTGGTTACTCTTGTAGGCAATGTAGGAATGTGTTATGTAACACAGACCTGAATTGCAACTGTAAAAAATACTTTTGGTTCCTCGTACCATACTAAACCTCGTACCATAATATATTAAAGACTCAATGCGAATGGACCTTCTGCATTGTTACACATAATGTAACAGCGTGACACTTATTACGGCTGCGCCACCGTCGCATCGCGATTAATTAATGAAAATTCACGTGTCACTCACATTATGTCCGCTAATTAATTACCTTAGCACAAACACTGGGAGATGGGTGCTGGGAATATGAAAGCTGTACTTTATCTTCAGTGTCTATAAAACTTAATAGGTTTGAAAGTGGTTTTTATTAACTATTACCCAGATGAGACCTTAAATGTCTAGCGTACAATTATAATTAATGTTACTTAATTAAGATTTATTGATCATGTTATCCTTCCAATGTTCCAAAGTTTAAGAGTAAGTTTTTTGAAGACAGGAATTGTGACTATTAGTAAATAAATTTGGTCTTTTAGTAATTAATAACATAAAACTGCTCAAGCAATGCTGACAGCTTTGATCTATCCAAATGCTGTCAGAGAGAGAACCCAGAGCGCGAAATGACGGCCAGTAATACATATTTCTTATATTGTTTAAATTTTAACACTAAGCATAAGTTTCCAATAAAGAATATAATAATCTTTAAAATATTTTCCTAATCTATTAATCTTTAAATTATTTTCCTTACAAATTCTTATTTTTTTTAAACTAAGTTCTTGTTCGTTTATTCACATTCACATCACACCTCCTCAACAATTTAGCATCCTCCACTTACAACGCTTATTGTACAAAAGAACATTCAAGACTATCTTAATATCTTAAAAAAAAACAAAGACGCAATGCGATTGGTTGATAATTTCATTTCAATGACGCTACAGAAAGAAAGACGCAAAAGAAAAATTAAAGTTAACCTTGAACGCGACGGAAGTGTTGCCAGAAGAAAAAAAAGTGTATTGAATGGAGGCTATTGAGTCTATTATGATGGTGTGTAAACAAACCAAAGACGTGTGCATATTTATAAGCTATATTTTACTAAAATAAGCTAAAATGTATACGATATAGACTACGATTGTACTCGTAGACTAGAATTAGGTCATCTACATGGGCATGTTTATAAATAATTTCTTATTGAGTTTGGCTGCACAATAGATAGCTAATATATAAGATAACATGGTTTTTATATAAAATAAAATTGACCTAATTAGAGCTGTTTTGTTTCTTTACTTAATAAAAACCACCATTAAAAACGTCTTACCTAATTAATTTTAACACATGCCAATGTTTTACCGACTACTAACTAGTGGCACAGAATTCAAGATTATAAAATAAGTAGTTATTAATATTATTTTCTATTTACTGAAAACATGTATTACTCTGTACTACAAAGATTTTTTTTTTTGCAATTTGTTAACTTTTTTGTGTCGGTTTTTATTTGTTAAAAATGATTACTTGTTATCTTGCTAACGAAAACTAAGCAGAAAAACTCCTCACAGAATTATGACCGAAAACCAATACAGGATATTTTTGGCATATTATAGGTAGGTATTGATTCTGCATACGACATTTTACTGACATTGACACTAGAGGTCGCTGTTGTGCTCCACTGCACTCCGTGTAAGGTGAAGGCCTAACACCACAATGTCACATAATAATAAAACAGCATTCATGTATTATATGGACTATATTGTGTATTGATGTGTATTACAATGGATTCCTGTATCAATTCAACATGGTTGGCGACAGTCGTGCAATCACGTCAGTGGTTCAATCATGTTTTAGTATCGAATTAAATTATTCAACGATAGATTGGATGGCATTTGAACTTAACCACATTGTAGGGAAAATTGCTAACTTATTTAATAATAAAAAACGACTTATTCACTTGAATCAACTGAGAAAACGTCAATCAACTGAGAAGTGTAGGAGTGCCATGCTTCGGCACGAATGGATCGGCTCGACCGGAGTGATACCACGGCCTCAAAGAAAACCGACGTGAAACAACCACAGCGTTGTGTTTCGCCGTGTGAGTGAGGTTGCCGGAGGCCCAATCCTTTCCCTCCCCGATCCCTCCCAAACCCCCAAATCTCCAAACCACTAATCCCTAAAAGATTGGCAACGCACTCGTAACTCCTTTGGTGTTACGGGTGTCCATGGGCGGCGCTAATTGCTTAAAAGTTCTACTAGTTTTAAGTCCCGTCGCGAAGACGCACGCTACTCATGATAAGGGTCCCGTTGTGACTTGAAACTAGTAGAGCTTTGCTTAGTTGATTCACGTGGGCGACAAATCCACATTATTATTATATATTATTTACAGTCTCACGATAGTTACTATTAAAAAATGGCTTACTTATTCAGTAAAAAATACGATTTGTGTGCTTAAAATGTCATTTTATAAAGACAATTTTATTAGTTTCTTGACAATTTAAATCTTTTGTAGCAACATTAACTACTTACATATTTGTTCTAGATATCCTAAATTCAATAATACTTTTAACTTACAATCAGTTCCTAATGCTTGTCACCAATGATCAAAACAAGTTGTAAGTACATTTTTATTTAAATTTTAATTATTCGTGATAAAGTATATTTTTATCTACAGCATGTCTAATGGCTGGCCAATAGAGGGCTTCCGGAATTTCTTCGCACATACAATTAAAAAATTCCCAGCCTTATAGAGTTCTTAATTATCTGCATTTGTAAAGTACTCCAATTCTATCATCCGCGGCGCCTCATAAAGCTAACGAAGGAAATGTCTTATTAAAACTAAGAAAACTCTAACTATAACTACCTACTTACTTATTACTTATTAAGAGTTTTGTTTTTCTGAATTACGCTTTAACTTTCCTTATAGTAAGCGTTAATTGGTCAGTGAACTTTTTATCTTAAATTAGTAAGTACTTATTTAAAAAAATATATATTTTGCGAATTTTGGTCATAAATAGCGCGGCTCACTGTCAACCTATTATATATATACCTATATTAGGTACTCATTCTATTATAACCTATAATTAATTATATATATGTAAGTAAATTCAATAATCTTTATTTCTTTCCTTGCCCACTTTCGCTCTACTTTTAGTGCACTAAAAACAATTTGATCAAAACGATACAATACGGAATCAAATCATAACACAAACTACGTCCAAGTAAGACTATTGTTGTTCAAAGATCGACTAACACAATGTATGAAACTACAATAAAAAAGAAGAAATCTTTTAGATCAACACACTGGAGTGCACTTAAAACGGCAAAAAACAAATGCATTTTCCAATGAGTTATCATCTATCGGAATAGACGCACCCTACTCATTTCCTAATGCACTAAATTGCACACAAATATGTGCAGTGCAGTGCAGTAAAAGGAGTGCAGAACATTCGGCGCGAGCGACTGGCGTCGGACGCATGCGCGGAATGCGGTCAGCCGGTGTAAACATTTCGCCTGGTTTACCGTCGTGGTTAGACCTTTAGGCTTAATGTGCAGCCTATTAGGTATAGGAACTTGTGGATTTGAGTTATTAATGTCACATTACCAAGTAAGACAGATATTAATAGAATTGTAAGTAATAACATAAATTATTAAACATTTCTTTTCTTAGTCAAGGTCTCGTTAGAATCGACAGCCAATTCGGTCGAATTCGATTATGATTTTCCAGTTTAGTTTTTTGTTCTGCGAAATGGAAAATGGACTTTATAACTGGTGTAAGATACTATGTGCTGAGTTCATTTCATGCCCTTTATGGGAACCACAGGCATGTTGCTAAGCGATGAATTACTTTCTAAGAAAACATTGAACAGCACAAAGTTCCTTAAATTAAGTAGGTACTTGAATTAATAATACTTATTTGATTTGACAAATATTTTTAATTAGCGACCCGCCACTATTTAATTGATACTTCTATACATGTAAACCATCCTCTTAAATCACTGTATCTATTAAAAAACTGCATCAAAATTCGTTGCGTAATTTTAAAGATTTAAGCGGACAGAGAAAGCCACTTTGTTTTATACTATGTTATGATGCATTGCTATCATTTGGTCAATGTGCACCAAAGTGCAGGACGTGTAGCAGTAATTGATGCAGGAATTGATTTCTCTAGATGTCACCGTGAGATCTAACATGGATCTAAGATTCGTTTACTCAATGCTTGGAACCAATCGATCTATCAAAGCGGACGGCTATCCGTGGAGGTTGACATCATGTATGTTTGTAGTTTCTGATTTTCTATTAGTTTCACAGGTACCTAAAGGATTAAATATATTTAGATTCAACATTTAAAAGTAGCTGTCATTTGTTTTTTGCTTTATACTTATAGATATTTTTTTACCCCCTTATTACAAAACAAGATTTATCTTTAGTCCACGTTTAAAACGTTTTAACGATTCGGGTTTTGAATTTTGAATCTTATTGTCATCTACCTTCAATTCGAAATACAAAAACTGGCTCAATGGTTTAGTCCTAGACTAAAGTAAAACCTTGTTTTGTAATAATGCCGTTAAGGTTTAAACTAGAATTTTCTTCTGTATCGTGTTCAACTATTACCATTTGTGTTGGTTCTTTTAACATATAATTATCATTAACAGTAGTAAGCTGTAATTAAATTAATCTACCTTAATGTCACTGGGTTTCACGGTAAAGTTATTGTAGTGATCTCTTGCATTACCTGTAAACAAAGATATGGATCGTCAATAACAAGCAAACATACCTATACATTGTGCACATATTACATACAGATCACAACAAAAATATACTAAATGCATTCTACAATGTGAGCTTAGGTGGTAAGGTACATAAGGATAGGCATACCTACACTAGTTTAGGAGCACTGTGGATAAAGAAAAATTAGAAGGATCATAAATATTTGTTTGCAATTTTATAATAGGTATATTCTACCACCTTTTTTTAAGTGATAGGTCGGCAAACGAGCAGACGGATTACCTGATAGTAAGCAATCAGCGCCGCCCATGGACACCCGCAACGAAGGAGTTACAAGGGCGTTGCCGACCTTTTAGGGATTAGGGATTTGGAGATTTAGGGATTGGGGGAGGAGAAGGATTGGGCCTTACACCTAGATGTAATATAGGTACCCTGCAATTACCTAAGGAAAACTTGAATCATATAAGTACTTAACATTAAAGTGTCTTAACGATAAACGCATTTATTAATTATTCAGCCTCACTCCACTCTCACATACTTCTCAAAATTTCTAAAACATTAGCATAAGCACGGACTCCTTACAAAATTTCAAATGCCTGCCTACTTATCCTTTAAACTAAGGATGTTAAGAACATCCGCCTGGCATTGTAAACGAGTACTCACCTACTTTAATTTACACAGAAGTCATTAGTCACAGATCGGGAATCTGTAATGACGAGCAATGCTAATCCAAGTGCATTCTTTGCACTTATCTAGACACAGAATCTACAAAATGGTAAACACAAACTTAGCTTCTCAAATAAATAATACTCAATCAAAATTTATGAAGAACATTCAATTAATCTTCGAAGTATATGTTTATAGTAGGTAAAAACAATTGCGCTAAGGGCTGATTTTTTAATGGTTAGATAAAAGTCACCTGGGGAATAATTATGATGCTGTCGCGTCAGAATGTTTGTATAAGACAGTGACAGCAACAACTTTATTCCTCAAATAACAATTATCTGACTATTGAAAAGTCAACCCTAAATTTAAAAAAAAGTCTGTATCTGTTCTTTAGTCTATTTGTGTGTTTTGTTAAGATAAGGTTTGTGCAAAAAAGGGATCATTCAGCCGAACGTCGTCGACAGAAGAAGTACCCGAGTGAAGTTCAGAGTAAAGTAAAATATTAGATATATAAAAGTTTTTACAATTCATTCATTAATTGCTAACAGTTTAATAAATTATTCATTTTCAATTTTCATTAGTAGGTTTTTTTTACAGGACCAACAATAATAGTTGTAGAAAAGTAATGACTTTTATGTTTGATTAATACATTTAAATTGAATTGTATTTTTGTTGTTGTAGTTTTTTCATAGAAATAACATAGGATTAATCTTTTTTTTTTTTCTTTTTTCATTTATAACCTGGGGCTTTTACACGTAGAGTATGTAAGTCCCATCATACCCTAAACAACTGTCTAATAACATGTCGCCATTGGGTTGGTATAGGATCGAGTGGAACATGCCTAAATCAGTTCTCTCTCCACTACATCAGACAATTGTAAAAACATTAATACACAACAAATGATCTCGCAGGATAATGAAGCGGCAATAACGCGACACATGCCCAAGATTACTGCAGGATACATTACTTAGAGCAATCGCATGAAGATAGATTCCCAAGATGTCAACCATAAAAATGAAGCTCAAGCTACTAACGGCATCTCCTAAGCGAATAAATGACGAATATAACGTTGACATCATCATCACCATCAGCCGAAAGACATTCACTGAACTGCTGAGCAAGGCATCCCCCTTAGTCCTCCACGTCGAACGACAACTCGCCAATTCCATCCATTGGCTCCCTGCGACTCAGAAAATATCCTCGGTCCCCTTAGCGGAAGGCCTGGCCACGACACATACTATTAGTTTTTATCATTAGTTTCCGGGTCCGTCCTTCAAGCAAAAAGGCCTGATCATTGCCAGTTCAGCCTGCAGATTTAACGAGCTATGTCGGTTACTTTGGTTCTTTAACGAATTACCACATTTCGGATTTCGTCGAATAATATTAAACACAAATGAATATCAAATCTTAAAAGCTGATGTGGCTAGGCTAGAATGACACATGAAACGTTGCGCAACACGTTTGCGCATAATTGCGCAAAAAACAAGAAGCTCATACCCGTAACATTGATATCAGTGCGCAATTTGCGCTAAAACTTAGTACGAAGCAATGAGTTTTAAATAAAATTTTCATACAAATAGGTGTAGGAGATCAGTAGTTTGATTCTAAATGTTTATAAGTGTGAATCTATAAATAAGTATGGTTTTAACCACACTTAATAGCACCGGCATGGCAATGACCGTTGACTTTTAAACTTGTTTAAACTCAACAAATCTGTAAAGTTGTGTTCTTGAAATATTCGCTCCTTACCCACAATTGCGGATAAATATTACGTATTTTATTTGATTAGTGGTTAAACATCAATAACTAGTAGGTCAAATTAGCCGATTGTGTCCGCAATACTGCAACTAAATAAAATATTAAAAGAAACTTAATAACTGTAAAAATAAAGATAGAGTTGTAAAAGATATATAATAAAATTTTATTTGTGCCTAAGTTAAAACCAGCCGGAGTTAGGAGTACAAGCACAATAATATACCTACCGCGCCCTGGCCTGGAGCAGGAGAAGGAACGGGGAGGTTTTTACTCAGTAAGAATCTGACACTTCCTCTCGCTCCAAACATGAGATGGTTTCCACCCAAAAAAACCTGTGTAAAAACGATCTTTTGACTAAAGTAGGTACTTTGGCTTCGTTAGTTTAGGCATGAACATCGTGACAATTATTCGACGAAATCATTATATATTCAATTTGTTAGTTGATAACTTGGTAGTCTGATTCTATTCCTTGTCCTATCTGATTTATCTCGCCCGTCATTTAGCTGAAACGACTTCAAAGTTATTTGCCAAAGCTTTAAACACATCCAAGATATCGGCCATAATATGCAAAGTGCGTATAATTTATGGGACATTTACGATGGTTGCCAGTTACCACACTGGCGGTCAGAATGCTCTCAGCTTCCTGCGTTCTAGGCCGAACTAAACCTAGATTGCAGAACTATGCACCTGTCTTGCTATTTTCTATCTAGATTTTATTAAATGTGAACGATACTTCCTATAGAATTCACTTAGATATGCGTCGTGGACTAAATAGGCGATAGACTGTTTTGGATTTATAGTGTCACATTTCCTCCAGATTTGTGTAATATAACCAAATATTCTAGATGTTTTGAGCCTGTAATTGGATATTTGTTGACGGCATACCTACTTGACCAATATTGAAAGTTATTTTTACTTTATTTATTTGAACTTTAACAAAAACATGTATAGAGATGTCAACAGTGGGTGCAAGAAGCAAGCAAAAAGAAGAATGCAAGAAGAAGCAAAATGAAGATATTACTGATAATATATCCGTGTATCGGTACTAAATTGTACCTATAGACTCCGTATGAAATAATAGTAAGTAAAAATATCCAGCAAGCTATTAATACATAACAGGTGTAGATACTCATGTTACCTTCAATTAAACTTGTACCAATCAATTCCTAAGTTTTTATTCCTTTGTCATAACTACACTCAACAATTCACACAATTACAATAAATACCAACAATAAAACGGTGTACCTGCCTATCGTAAATTATATAGAAAATGTGTATAATTTTCCATAAGTCTGAAATTAACTGTTTTAACCCATAAAATGATGATAAACCTATTAGCAGTAAAAGTATTTACGTAAGTGAAATTATAATGTTGTAAAAATTCTAAAACCATAGTTACATAGTCTTGATACGGTTTCCAGATCTACTTTTTTCCCTTTTGTACTTGTAAGGGCTGATAAAAGTTATCTGGGGAATAATTATGATGCTGTCGCGTCAGAATGTTTGTATAAGACAGTGATAGCAACAATTTTATTGAAAAACCAGCGTAAATATCTAAAATAACGCAGGTAAATAATAATCTATTCGCAAAATGAATACGAGTAGGTATAATAGTTGTATAATTAATTTTGAATTTTCCTGCGTCAGCTGTGTAAAATAACAGTTTTTGTTTTAAGAACACGGACGCAGTGACGTCATCATACAATATGATTTGAACAGCTGTTTAAATATTGCGTTCACATACGCAAGTAAAACGTAGCCAAAAAGTCACCTCGTTTAGTTGAAATCATTTATTTAATTAGATGTTACAGCTGTTTGAAACTGGTTACTTCCCTGTATTTTGTATCTAATATAAAATTAGGGTGAAACAAAAAAAAACACTTATTCCTTAAAAATTAACCTCCTTTTTACATTAAACACCGGGGTAGAGACATTTTACGAGTAGTCATTATATTTTTTATCTATAGGTTAGGTTAGGTAATAGTACTTAATCAGCTGGGGTCGCGAGTGCATCCGCATTAACGTACTGCAGCCCCGGCCTGGAGCAAGAGGAGGAACGTGGTTTTTAGTCAGTAAGAGTATGATACTCCCACGACGAGAGATACATAATAATGATTTTCCTGTCAAATCTATAGTAATATTAAAAAGAGGTAAAATTTGTAAGTTTGTATGTAGGGGTAATCATTGGAACCGCTTATCGGATTGCCAAAATTCTTTCATTGATAGATAGCTTCAATGTTCCATAGTACTAATATGCTATAAAACATCACGCTACGATCAAATGGAGCCGAACTGAAACCACGCAAGTGTAGCTAGTGAGGAAATATGACAAGACCTAATGTTTTGTCAGAAGTTTTTCATTTTTATTTCATTTCTCAGTTGTGAATTCGAGCCTACATATAAAACCATGTTGACTACGCACACGTTCTTATCAAGAAAACGGAAAGCCGTTTTATTGCAAAGTGTTGGAATGTTTACTAAATACCTACTAGTAAATTCATAGCTACTACCAACGTTAAATATTAGAGCTCCTCAGTTTTAAAAACAAAAAAATAATATTACTATAGGTACTTACCAAGTGTAAGT